GTACTTTTTCTTGAATTTTGGGTTGTACGAAGAGTTTAAAATAAAACAGTACACTAACTTTTTATCACACTCGTTTGAGCTGTTTTTGTTTAAATCTGTCTTTTCCATTATTTCTTGGAGATGGGAGACATTAAAAATTCAAATTTTCAAAAAACCTAAATATACCTCTGGAGATACCATAATTAGTACACGTATGTGTGTAATTTAGTGTAAAATATGCCTTAATTACTTATTAAGTATCAATACTGTCTTCAAATGTTGATTAAATTCTAAACAATCTCAAATGAATCGAAAAAAATGGTTTTAGAAAAGGGTTACGATAGTAAAATTTTACAACATAATTTATTGAAAGTTCTAGACAGTTTCCTAATTTATGAAAAATATTACGAGTAAGTACCTTATCTTAGAGTAAGTACCTTATCTCGTGCTAATTCTAGACACAATAAGGTAACTTATCGGTAGCTTTGCACTGGATCCCTCCATGTGAGCTATAAGTCATCCTTTGATGTTAATAATAGCTTAGTGAAATCCACCTACCATGATACCGTTATAAGCTTAGCATTTTCAAATAAATCAGGAAATATTCCAGCTTAAGGAAATTATATGCATGTTGTGTTATTGTTTAAAAAAGCAATTATTCCAAAAGAAACGGTAGATTTAAAACTGGATATGACTATTTCAAAGGGCGGAACGTGGCTTGAAAGTTATATGTACTAATTTTATTTTATTTTATAATTATTGCTGGTATTGGTGTATTTAACGCCAGTTGAGGTTTTACGTTGTTTTAATTTTAAAACCCAGATTTGTTTACCATTTAACGTAGCTTTATCGTTAGAAATAATAATAATCAAAGGTTTTGTTACAAATTACTAGTGTTTGAAACCAATCCTTTTGCAACATGATTAGTTTGATATTTGTATATACATTGTTTAGACAATTTAGCTTTTGAATACACTATTTAGTTTCTTAATACATTTGCAAATACTTTGCACAGCCATTTGAAATTTGAAGACAGATAATTTTAGAGCAGTTTGTTTTTATATTGTGTCTTTCATGGTTTTATCTTTCAGTAAGGCACTTTTGCTTATGTTTTTTTTCTACAAACATAAAATAACGTGTTAAGTGTTAAATAATAATGTAATCTTTCACCATTATGAACAACTCTGGTCTCAACTTAAACAGGCATATTTTTATAAATACAAAATTATTGTATGTTCTAAATTGTACAATAAAGCAATTTCCATTCATTTATATATATTTTTTTATAATTCAAATATGACGAACTCATTTTATTTCAAAAAGCAACAATGAAACATATGTCTTACCTACTGTTCATTTATTTTACATTTCCGTTTGTATTGTGTTTTTTTAAATTACCAATTTTGAAAATAAAATTAAATACAAAATTTTGGATGAGTTTGTAAACAAGTATTTCCAACACTGAAACAAGCCCGAGCAGTAACAAACACAATACAAGTAGAGTTTCTCCCTGTACACCAGTTATCACAAATTGTCACAACACTCCTCTCTATCTCCACCATACGTCTGCCTCACACAGGAACCCACGGGTTATCCTGTGAAATATGCCGTGGAATATATTTATTTCTCAACATGATGAGTTACCGGAAACACAGATAGTGAGGTTAAAAATGCAACAATTTTATGGTTTGTGTTCGTGGAAGGATTTTAAAATATTGTAAAATTTTAAAAATATTGTAAAATTTTTAAATATTGTAAAATTTTAAAATACAGTATTGTAAAATTTTTGAATATTGTAAAATTTTTTAATATTGTAAAATTTGCAAATATTGTCTTAAAATCTGTTAAAATATTTTAAAATTGAGATATGACTACCTGTTCGACATAATATTTCGGCTGATATTCGTTTACAAATTATGGTGGAAATTTAAAGTAATGAGTGCAATGAAAACCCACTGAGGAATTTTTTTTAATACGTAGTATTGTAAGATGTATATCGTTCATGATAAGTATTGGTAAGGTAAACTGTCACATTCAATTTTTTGAGAGCTAAGAGAGTAAAATGGACATTGTATGTGCATGTGTGTTTTCAAAAGTTATTTTTTAGGAATCCTGAGTATAATGATTACTCATACATTACAATCAAATTGATAAAAACATTTGGCAGTGATTAAAAACTGTACCGATTTAACACTACCAAGAAAAGTTCACTTATGTAACGATTCACTAATTTTATGTTAACTTCCACAAACCTTTTGTGGACATGTCTAAGACCTACACCATTATTTTGTCTCATCCACACCAGTGAGGTGGATAAAGAATTTTTTTTTCGTAGCCTAGATATATATATATATTTGTTATTGTTAATACCAAAATAACCGTTGTATATACCATAATAGTTTGTGTTGATATTATTTAGTAATGTTCAATGGCAGTTTGATTTGCCTAATAAATGTTTTTTTAACAAACGTAATTTATGAAGGGTAATTTGGCGTTAAATAAATCGATTCGCATCGAAAAACCTAAATAAAATGCTAAATTTGAGAATGTGTCCTCGCGTTTATAACTAAAAGGATCATAACTGAAATTTGGTATACTGTGCATTACTACCAACCTACTGTACATATTTACAATCCACCTACAATCTTAAATGCTTCAATGTAATAGTTTTGCTTTGTTTAGTATAATTTTAATGTAATAAATCAACAATTCAATGAACTGCCCAGAGTAGTCAGCTGTGAAGACCTCCCGCGGTTTCTGCAGCTCGTTTTCCCGCCACAATCACGTCTGTGATCAGAAGCTACGTGTTGTCCTGTGTAATAAACCAAGACGTATCTTTACACGTCCTGCTAGGAAATATCACGTTACCACCAACAGTTAACAGTCTAATAAACCTTCACATAAACTTGTTTACTGCGAGATCCAACTAGATGTTGTAATTTTGTTGTTCAACGATACATTTATACATATTGTTTCCTATTTGACCTACTTTTGAACACGCAATTGTAAATTGCTGACATATTTTTATCTCAGAGAAATATTAGATGAACAGATTGGGAATTCGTTATTTTCCACTCTTTTATCAAAAGCTTACACGTTAAAACCAACCATTTTAACGTTTAAATTGAAACATTATTTTTTTATTATGGTTTTTGTAAATTACAGTTATTTTTTCAGCTTGAAAGATTAAATTTGTACATTGCCAAAAATTACAGAATTGCAACTATTTATTAACAGTGAAAATTAATATTATCATATTTTATTTTACAACTCTCAATTTATTTGTACTTATTATTAATTTTATAGTATATCAAAATACAAGTTTGGGTTTAAAAATGTTTATACAAATATTATATTAAAAGAAAAAAAAGAAAATCTTAGTTAAAACCTTCTACAGCCATAAATGGTTTATTTTTTATTTTCACTTCTTCCAAATAAATCGTTAAAATAATTTTTTATGATAAATTTAGTGCGTAAAAATGTGATTGATCAAAATAACACGATGAATTTCAAAGTTAACAGTGAAAGTGTACCCGTACGCAGAACGGAGTATCACAGAAGATCACAGAGCTGTCAGGATCAATATGATCTTCTATTGATAAGATATCAGCGATCAATGTGATTGCACAACATAGACAAAGAAGTGACAATCCAAGGCTGACGTTGGGTCGTGGGATAGAGGATAAGTCATGGTTGTACATAATGAGTTTGACATGGGGCAAAACATAGTTGGCATCAGCTATCATAAGAATTGTTATTACTCGCATGTATGAAATATTCTTCAAAGTATTCTGTAAGTAATGAGGTAGCTTATGTTAGTTAGCATAACCTATCATATGTTAAGATTACTCTTGATATATTCTTCAATCGAGTCAAATTATTTCCTTATTTTTTGTAGGTTTTACAGTCAATATGATAAATTGTTGGATTGATCATAGATGCATTCATCATCATAATTTATCATTTATTTAGATGGGGCGCCACCTAGGTGTGTATTTTAACCCAAATATGAGTGAAGGATGAGTGTATAGTGTAGAATGGTGTGAGATGATCTGTGTAGCTTTGTTACTAAGATCACCTTTTTTACTAGCCAGGATCATTTATTTAAAACCTAATAATCAGGAACAGCTAAACCAATTTTTGAACCATCAATAAGCTACTGTCTTTTCTCAGGATTGAACTAGCGACCTTTTGATTGTAAGACAAGCACTATATCAGCTTAGCTACATAAATTATGAGAAGGCTACAATGTTCTGCGAAAAATAGAACTTTACCGTTTAAATATTTCTTTACATTAGATATCAAGAGTTCACCATCCTTGTAAGAGTAGCAAATAACTTACTTAGAATATGTTTTCTTTTCAATCCACTTCAATATATATAAAACACCTTTTCGTTGAATTTCAACCATCGTTGAGTTCTACATTGCAACTATTTAATACCCTTTTATAGGTTAAGTCATGGAACATGAACTATTTTCATCCCTCAAATAATTTATTGAAAGTAATCGAACGCAGATATGTAAGGGTGGATTATGTCGAACTCATCAAAACCTGTATCGAAAAGTTTAATCGAATAGTGATTAACACTATCATCGATATCCCGATGGATTATGCTCGATATTCACGTCACTCAGTATTATTGCAATCCTCTCTGACAAGTTCGACTGTTCACAAATGTGATTCCACTTTACATAATCCCCTTTGATCGTTAGTTCTCGCTCGAAGTTGTATAACTCGGTTGATATTGAACCTCTAATTATGGTATTTAGCAACAATGAATTTTACATTACGTCATCTCCTCGACTTCCGCGATCTTCATATAGAGAGGTTGAATATTTCGATAAATACCGTGTTAGAGGTTAATCGTGTTGGATTTTACTGTGATACCGTACAGTTTATGGTTGATAATTATACAACATTAATTACATAATAAAATTCTTGGTACTAATTTAAATTTGTTTATGTTTGGTACAACTAGTGCCTAAAGATAATTTACAACTAATTGAAATTTCTTTTCTAGATTGAAGAGCTGTTTCTGAATAAAGAGAAGTGTCAATACTGGTAAGTTGATTACTTAAAAAAACTAGGAAAACTATTATTGTAATAGTTCAGTACCTATTTTTTAGTACAGTAATTTTTCTAAACGTAGGTGCTATTGAGCTTTACTTGTTTAAATGTGTAAAAAAACGTTGTAATCACTTATCTTTAATTTATTCTGCTAAGATTGTCACTCATTGATATATATATATTTTTAAAATTAGAATCTGTTGACATTTTAAAAATAAAATTTTATGGACACGATATTTATTTACAATATTTTTTAATTTAGGTATTCACATAATAGGGCTGCTGATATATTAAATTATAGTAGTAAACAAGTGCAACTGAGTACCCTGAATATTATATTTTTAGTAGAAGTTACATGTTTCGGATATAAGTCCATTTTGAAACTTCAAATACATTAAATACTTAACTGTTGTTTATATTGTATGTTTGTGTATAAATAAATACAATTTAGATATACAGATGATTTAAAGAATTAGACAGGATTTGGAAAAAGAATTTTGTTACTGATTATTTAATTCTAAAATGTGGTCTATTTAATCTATTTAAATCTAAAATTATCAAACCGAATTTTGTCGCCCTTTAATTTTTTAAACGGTATGAAACCAATTTTAACTAAACTAACACATGCTTCGTATCTCACATATTTTTATTTACAATATAAATTCTAAAACCTCTGACAATATACTTTGCAATCTTTTCATCTCTGACATTATGGGCAGACTTTTGTGTACACAAACATCAGAGTATATTTGGTGACAAGAGTCTAATGCACATTATCTAAATGGTCCACATTACACTCTGATGGACCAACATGTTCTCGATATTTATAGAGCTATAAAACCCACAGAGGTTAAGTGCTCCCGACTGTGGTGGATTACTAATGATGCTCTTTATAGCGGCAGTTATATGAATGGAGTATGTTTACATAAAGGATGATTTTAAGCTCTTTGAGTAAATATTTTTATTTCAGAGAAAACAATAACGTAACTGCTAGCATCCATTGTGGATAAATTCAGTGTCTTATGTAAGTGTCTTGTCCTTGTATTTGCATCTTCTGTAAAATGAACTAACGAATGTGGAAACAGACATTCGAAAATAATTAAAAAACTTTTTTTGTCATTCCTCAAATGTAGAAATAGAGTATAAAATGCTCCATGGAGCTATCTATTCTCCAGAATCGGAAGAACCCAAATACTTTGGCGGTGTTTTTTCTTCCTTCTGTGGTGGATCAAACACAGCAAAGCCAACTTTTGAGGTCTTGACAGCACCATTTCTAAGGCACAACTGATTCAGTGTTCATTGCACTTTATTGTCGCCGGATCCGGCAACATAGTTTTCGCAGGCAAGGTGTGTTCTGACCCTCCAGGCGGTTACGCCGGATCCGGTGTCCGGCGGTTTCGCCGGTAAACGTGTTCCTAGCCTAACAAACTGCATAATGTATTGACTTCATTTCTTGGTTCTACGTTGTTTAGTTTAGTTCTTTGTTTAGTAGGTTGAAATTCCTTAAATACTGCTGGGTATATGTGTGGTTATATTGCTTCTCTATTAATACTGAAAAGTTAGGTTGTATATGGTTAAGAACTGGGTCCAGTTGTCTTTGATTTTTGGGATTTTAATGAATGGTTCTGATTAACGAAATAACTGAACTTGGTAACGAAGCTACACGAGTCATCTCACTCCATCGGCAATGCTAATAATAATAAATATTGCTAATAAGGTTATACATACTTCTTAAAATTCAGTGAAGAATCTTAGTTAATTTAAATGAAACATTAAGTGACGATGCACTATTTTACAATACAAATATGCCCACTAAATAAAAATATTAGAAAAAAAATCCCAACTAAAAAACATATATTTTTAGGGACTTCACAAACCTCTTTTGTTATTTTTGTTTGAATTTCTTTAAAAGTATTTTAATAAATAATTTATCAAAATATTGTTCAGACCCAACACAGTTAGACCCATTTCTTGAACGAATACTTTAAAATATACATTACATTCTGTATGCACACATTTAACACAGGAAGTTGAACACAGCTGTTCACATTAGAATACCCTAGATACCGCTGTGTCCAGCGAACCCGGCAAAGTGTTTATTGTTTAGTTGCAACAGCTGATCGACGACTTGCCTCACATTGCATTGTTTGTTGCTCAAGTCACAATTAAAACTCGCATTCAATGAGCTGTGCTCTACCTTGAACCCCGTGAAAGGCTAAACTAGGGACAAATGGGACATTGTGAGGAAATATGTTGCTGCATTGTCATTTGGAATTGATAGTGTTGAAAATTTGGTTGGCAGATAGATTTTTTGCGGCTCTTTGAGTAGTTTTTTGTAGGCCTTAGTTTAGTCACTGGATCAGTAAAAATGTTATCAATATCATTAAAACTTTAAATTACATTACAATATAAAATCTACTTAATTGTTGGCCGCAATGCACATAAGAGTTTTTTAGACACACTTAAATTAAATTGTGCAGCTGTTTTTAATTGATTTTCAACTATTAACTAGAGGACCCATGCTGTTCCGCAGATTTAAAATTTATATAATATAGAAGAACTAATAAAATTTATAATTTTTGATTGAGTAATACAATATCTTGAGCTTAACTGATTCAAACAATCTACCTCAAATTAAAGCCTATAATTTACTAATTATTTTGAGTCTAAAACATTATAAAAAACATGAATAATACTGGACCTATTGATTTTTAATCATAGAAAAACCTAATGAAAAAACTGGAGAAATACAACTTAATTTGAACTAAGAATTCGCAAATGATTCAAATTATGTTTTTGGTCAAGTAAAACAGTAGGTAAACATATACCGATGATTGATGTCAAATCTTTGCGTGCATGTCTTCAATGTGAGACCTTAAACATGAAAAGCGGTCTGGCAGTAGAGCCAAACGAACTCGGAAAAGAAAAACAATTTTTTTTAAATATATAAATGAGTATTAATTTTCTCAACTACTCCCAATTTTACAATAAAAAGTTCTAACACCATTAAACTAATCTTAAACGACCATTGAAATGTTAAATAGCACCAGAATTTTAATTGTGAATCTAACTTAATTTTCGGTGCTTGTATACATACAAGTTTCCTTAAGATACACATTGTTATTTGTTCTGTTGGTTACATACTGTATGACAATTTAAAATTTATTTCATAGACCTAAAAGAGGCATTTTAGTGTCTAATTAAATTTAAAAATCTCATCAGAATTTAAAGTGTACGTCATTGTTGGCCGCAGTATACATAATGCAAGACAGCCAAGTTGGTTCTCGTCCAGAATTGCGCGACTTGGAGTTGTTAAGAAGCTTCGTCTCTCGCATCGTCAAACACCTCTCCTTGCATAACGTTACCTACAACTTGGCAATTCCGAGTGGAAAGTTGGCTTTGAAGAACTACTGAACATTTCTATTTATACAAATGCTGTGTAGAATATTTGAGTATCACCGTTTGTAATGTCAATGTATAGGTGTTTCATTCAATTTGTAATAAAAATAGAACCACACATAAGCTTTCAGATTCTTTCAAATTATTTATTAAACATTAGAGTTACTTAAGTTTTTTCCCACGCAAAAAGATTTCCAATATTAGCATTATACTGACTAATGGTAGATACAGAATTATGAAAATGTTTATAGAATATGATTACACAAAAACCTTATTTGACCTTATCGAGGCAGCATTTTCTGGTGGTGGATTCATCTATTTGTTGTTTTATTGAGTGTTGTAGTTTGCTTGATTACATTTTTTGAAACATGGCAAATTTATTTATTTTAAACTAAGCTATTAATGTATTAATAAAAACTCACTTTATTAACCTCCTTGTAGCAGCAAACCTAGGTACTCATGAAACCTAATGTTATTGAAATTGATTTAATTGAAAATAAAATTAGGGAAATTGAAACTCACTTAATCTGCAGGTTGGCTGTGGTGGGGGTATTTTGCCTATTCCATGAAATGCAGAGACGGCAGTGCAACCTTTGATTGCAAGGAAAGTGAATAGGTTGCTGCAGATCTCTGGAGGGAGTTGAGAACACAAAACACTGAAAGATTATTTTTTATTTTTGCTTTTAACGGCCGCCATTTTGAAATGACTTGATGAAACGTGACCATTTTCAACCCAGGCCGAGATAATGTATTCAAGCACTTGTGTACCAAATTTCATAAAAATCGGTTCAGGCATTCGGTCGTTATAGCCAATTCATGGGGACCCAGCATCCTCTTACGGCCGCCATTTTGATTACGTCATTACGGACGACCGAGGTCCTTAAAAATTGGGGTTTGGGCGGTTTTAGGTTCAGAAACTTGTATACTATAACCACCTACAATTGCAGCCTCTCTGCCAGAACTGAAATATTCTGCCACTATATGCAGCTATACGACCCCACTAAATTGAAAGTCATGGAAGTGCGCAACAAAGTAATTTAATCATAAAAAAAAAACACAAAAAATTTGGAAATTAAGAATTTGGAATTAAAAAAATTAAACGAAAGATTTTCCCTTCGGTCTCCTTAACATATTTCCTGGCGTCCTCTCGACCTGGAACAAAACGCATATGTCAGTATGGTCTTTTTTTATAAATCATTCAATATATACAAAGATAAAAGCTAAATACAGTAATGGGAAATGCAAAATGTGAAACTATAACCTAATACTAACAAAACTATAATAAAACTATAATAACTATTATAACTATAATAATATAACTATAATAATATAACTATAATAATTATAATAACTATAAAACTATAATAAAACTATAAAAACTATAATAAAACTATAACAAAATTACCACAATACTAGGAAATGGTGTTTGAATCTGTTAAAATCTTACGCATTTCCAAAATTCAATTGGATGAAATTAAATGCTCCTGTGCATTTCATTCAACAATTAATGTAATTTGCAATCTAATAATTGGTACTTTTAAACATAATTCAACATTGCACATTTCCAACAAAAATTCTGTTGGATGGAATTAAAT